CGCGCCCCTGAGGGGCCACCGCAGGGGTCGCGACGTGCTTACGGGGGCAGCCTCGCCCTCTCTTGGGCGGCGGCGAGCCGGGTCCCTCCTTGGGGGACCTTCCCCTTCTCAGCGGTGGAGAACTTCCTCGTCGGCGCCTTAAGGACTACAGCAAGGTGGCGAGGCAAAGAGGAGGAACAAGAAGCAGGCAGCAAGAAGATGGAGATGAGCAAGGGGGCTCCGCCCCTCTCTTCATTTATAGCCGAGGGAGGCCAACCGCCGGCCTCCATGATCTTGCACAATGATGGTTTTATCTGCATGAAGTGAAGTCTCATCAAGCCGGACGGTTGCCGAGGCAGCATGGGGAAGCGGAGGCGCCCACGTCCCATTAATCGCCACGCGTCGACCAAGGCCGCAGGTGATTAGGGCCCGTGGTGCTCCGCATTTGCCCTTTGGCTTCGCCTCGAAGCCAAGTACGAGCGCGCCTTGGGCTCGGGGGCTACTGTTGGCATTCTGGGAACGGGAGTACCCAGACTTGCCTACCTGCGGTCCACGGCATGGCTCCATCGACGGCCTGGTACGGCCCTGCGTCAACGGCAACAATCCAAGACCCTCACAAGGCGGACGACATCCAGGTCCTCCCTGGGGCCGGCCTCACCAGGCTGGCTCCCGAGGAACGGAGATATCTATGCAAGGTGCACCTCGCGAGGTTCATATGACGTGAGCCATGACGACCAAGGCCAGGCGGGCGCCAGCGGGCGCAGTGTACCAGTTGAAGGAAATATGCCCTAGAGGCAATAATAAAGTTATTATTTATTTCCTTATATCATGATAAATGTTTATTATTCATGCTAGAATTATATTAACCAGAAACATAATACTTGTGTGAATACATAGACAAACAGAGTGTCACTAGTATGCCTCTACTTGACTAGCTCGTTGATCAAAGATGGTTATGTTTCCTAGCCATTGACATGAGTTGTCATTTGATTAACGGGATCACATCATTAGGAGAATGATGTGATTGACTTGACCCATTCCGTTAGCTTAGCACTCGATCGTTTAGTATGTTGCTATTGCTTTATTCATGACTTATACATGTTCCTATGACTATGAGATTATGCAACTCCCATTTACCGGAGGAACGCTTTGTGTGCTACCAAACGTCACAATGTAACTGGGTGATTATAAATGTGCTCTACAGGTGTCAACGAAACCGAGTTGGTCACGTTGTGTGATCCGGCTTGGACTCTTGTAAGCCAGGGGGCTCGACCTATGTATATAAAGGCGAGACCCTGTGGCGGGTTAACTCAAGAAACAATTGATCGATAGCTAGGTCAAGCGATTCTGCTCCCTTGTAATCAATATTCAAGCAATAGTCAACAAAAGCAGGAGTAGGCTTTTACCTCATTGTGAGGGTTCGAACATGGGTAAACCCCGTGTCCTTGTCCCGTTCAACCCCTTCAAGCTAACCTACATTGCGATGGCTCCACACCTAAGTCCTTCTCCCGTGACAAAACCACGACAGGTCTCGATCTGGTAGTCTTGACTAGATGGTAACAAGACACAACGGAGCACCTATGTTTACCCAGGTTTGGGCCCTCTCAAAGAGGTAAAACCATATGTCCTGCTTGTTTGTATTGATGATGGAGTATAGGTTTATCTACCTGGAGATCGAGTATGAATGAGTTGGCCTCTACGGTCTACACCCCTCTACTTATATAGAAGCCGGGGTACCTATGGTTATACATGGTCATTTACATCTGAAGATAAGCATGCCGAAGATTGCATTCGTGCCTTGGAATATGTGCCAAGTCTTTGGAAGATTCCTCCTGGGGCCTAACGAATGTGGCCCATTGGTTGGTTGTTTTGGGGGTCCTTGGCCTGACCCACATGTTGGGGAGCCGACCTGATTAGCACCCCCTTATCTGGGACACCATCAGCAAGGTTGGTGAAGAAGGCTCCGGCAATGGAATCCCCCTCCTGGAGAGCTCCGGAACAGTCCTCCAGATTGGAACTTCATCAAATAGGAACTTGCGGCGGCGACAAAATTCTTCTAAAAATATGGCCGATGGTTTCGGTATTTATAGGGATTTATGGCGATGGAACGGAGATATGGCGGTAACTATGGGCCCCACACGCTTAAGCGGCACGCCCTAGGGCCAGGGCGCGCCACTTGGCCGTGTGGCCCCCTGGTGCAAGTCTCGTCCTCCCCCGAGGCTTCTAGGGTCCTTCGTTGTCCAGAAAAAATCATCAATAATTTGCATCATGTTTTGACCTTCCTAAATATTGATTCCCTGTGAAACCAAATACAAACACGAAACATAAATTGACACTGGGCACTAAATTAATAGATTAGTCAAGAAAAATAACATAAATTGCTATAAAAAGTACATAAAATTGATAATATAATAGCATGAAACAATTAAAAATTATGGATACGTTTGAGACGTATCAGAGGCCATGTTCTGCTCTGGGAATGCCAGGCCTTGTGTGGATGGGCTTGCCCTCGCTGTGGTTGTGACCAAGATTCCTCCTAGTGGTGTAGACGAGTTTCTGAGCGAAAGATTCACGTTTCCGGCGCCGGCGGTGCCCATGGGTGCCGCTTGCTTATTGGATACGTTGTCGTGGGTCTTGTCCCAGTTCCAAGGTTCCAAGTGAAAACCTCTGTCTCTTTGCTCGGACTCGGCAGCGGCGATGCTTCGTGACATCACTCTTGGGGGCGTTGTTATGGAGCTGAGCAGTCTTTGGTCGGGCCTTGGCGAGGTCTTTTGATTTGCTTTGTAAGAGGGCCTCCTCACCATATTGTATTGTTCGCCTGTGTACTTTGGTGTGTTTTATTTTATATATAAAGCGAGGCGAAAGCCTGTCGGGAAAAACTTGAAATATTGCTGAGGAATGCTTGTCAAATACCCCCTCCGTTCCTAAATATTTGTCTTTCTAGACATTTCAAATGACTACTATATACGGATGTATGTAGACATATTTTAGAGTGTAGATTCACTTATTTTGCTCCGTATGTAGTCACTTGTTGAAATGCCTAGAAAGACAAGTATTTAGGAACGGAGGGAGTAGATTATTAGTACACATTTGTATCAACCATGCAATTGGTCAAATCTCGCATTTGTGGGGTGATATTGACTTGTAGTGGCTGAAGAAATTGTTTTGCTATTTTAACTCTAGGTAAGTGATCGATAGAAGGCTCTAGCAGGTACTCCTTCCGTCCCATAATCTAAGACGTTTTTTGACACTACACTAGTGCCAAAAAACGTCATACATTATGGGACAG